TACACCTGCGCATTACTCACGCGTCTCCGCATCGGGACCTGTAGTCTTAACCACAGCTTATTCTTAAGAAATTTAGCCCCTAGTGCTGCTTGTATCTGCGGGTCTCGTTGTGAGAGTGTCATACATTTTCTTTTACACTGCCCTTTATATAATCAACAAAGAGTTACCCTACTCAGCAATCTCCAGAATGTGGTAGGCTTTGATTTTGATGTTTTCAATATGTCTGAACAATTGTTATGTGATATTTTACTTAGAGGATTACCTGATTTATACTATGATACAAACTGTAATATCTTGCTAACCACTCAAACTTATATTGTTGATACCAAACGGTTTGTACTCGATTGATTTATCATATAGCCTACTAAACATTTCTTTGTACTATTTAACGACCCATCCCAACCATTTGCTGTTCTCTGTTTTTTGTTATGTATTGTAATTGTATTCTATGTTTGGTGGTGAGGCAAAAATTAGCAACAGCTAGAGTACCTCACCACCTTGTCTTGTATTGTCCTTGTTGAATTTGCAAATAAAAAAAAAAAAAAAGTGGAACGGACTGTACAAGAACATTAAGGACTCATACTGATTTGTTGTGCCGATCCGGCTTTACCTTTGGGCAATTAGCCGCAGATTGGTACTCGAGAACAGTTATTTATTATATTATTATTATTATAATTAAAAATCCTAACCAATAAAGTAGGGAATAGCTATCCAACTGTTGTTTTAGTTGTATTTTACTTCATATTATAGTTATATCAATGTAAATCATTGTTTTCCCTTGTGTTTCTCATTCTTTCCCTGCCATGTCGTAAAATGTGGTGAGGAGAGGATGTAGGACTCGGGAGCTATAATAGGTTTGGTAACCAGGCTAGCAATATAGTACATTGCACATGGGCCAGTACAGATTAGGTGCAGGTAGACATCAGAAGTACCTGCATATACCCAGTACATGGACCAGTGCAGGTTAGGTGTAGCCTGGGTACCATCCGGATTTTCACTACACAACGCTCGAAAAAATCACTTTTTTTTCGAATTCGAGCGTTGCGTAGTGAAAATCCGGATGGTACCCAGGCTAGGTTAGGTACAGGTAGACATCGGAAATACCTGCACAGCTTCAATTTTACCTGCACTAACGTGCATATACTCAGTACATGGACCAGTGCAGGTTAGGTGAAGGTAGACAGTTCACCTAACCTGCTACAATTTCACCTGCACTAAGGTGAATATACGCTCCCAGTATTTCGTACAATAAATCCTGCACTGTCCCCACCCACCTGCGGCTGTGACCGGCGGCCACCAGATGAGGATACAGCCGACGCCCATCACGTAGCAGTAGATGATGATGAAGAGAGCCACCATGGGGCCCCAGTGGCACAGTCTCCGCAGGTCTCGCCAGTCTATCCTCGGTGCCATGTTCTGTCCTGATGAGGAACACAAACACTTGTCAGAAGCTTGGTCGAAGCTATTGGCAGCATGATCCTGTCAACAGCCACTGTGTTTTGTTATATCGTACAAGGGGTCCGTGTATTTACCGAAATACACGAAATGTACGAAATACAGTGCGAAATACACTTTTGCGGAGTATTTTCTGTTGCATTTCTACAGTCACATGCCTATGTAACACATTATTTCTTGTCGAAATATTGTACCTTGTGATGTTAACTTATTACTACTGTGTTTTGGTAGATTTCACCACTCTTTGTGTGTGTAAATGACTCGGACAAAAACAAACAAACACATGGCGTGTGTGTTTGGTAAACACAAAGATGGCGGCCGGGCCGACCGTGCTCACCAATATTCTTGTCAGCAGGGCCACATATACATTATTTTATGCTGACATATAGCACACTGTGATGTTTGATCACCAAATCATTCAGGTTTTCGGTAGATTTCAACACTCTTCGTGTGTAAATGACTCAAATACCGCTAAAAACAAACATCGTGCTAAAACAAGATGGCGCCGAGACGGCATCGTGATGGTGGCAAGTCACTTTTCTGTCTTTTTCTTGTCGCCGGGGCTATATATACATTATCTTATGCTGAAATATAACAGCCTGTGATATTTACTCATCAAATCATTATGTATTTCGGTAGGTATCACCATCTTCTTGTGTATTTTGCACTGTATTTCGTACATTTCGTATATTTCGGTAAATACACGGACCGTCGTACAAGCTATGCCAGTGACTGATACAATTCAGGTTTTGCAAATATCAAAATACTAGTACTACTACTAGTATTGAAAATAGAACATTGAACCAAATATGAATCACTCCTATGAATATGTCCTTCTTCTTGCTATAGAAGACGAGTTGTAGTGTTAGTATAGAATCACGGGGTTAGCATTGACCATGACTATTATTATGGGCTCACCACACCACGAAGTGGTGGTGAACCCATATTGCTTTTTCTGATGTTTCTTCTCCTTCTTCTTCTCCTGCCATTTTTTAAATGGATTCAGCTTCTTCATTTTAGGGCCCAAGGTCCTGAAATTTGGTATGGAGGTACAGTGGGCAAATACCCCTAGGCGTTTTTTAAATTATTGTGATACAGGCTTTTAGAATGGTTTTATTTGAGTTTTTTGGCTGTGTTATAGCAAATGTATTACTGTGTTAGTGTGCCTTGTTTACCACGTTTGGGCATGAGTCATCACAATGGAATGCAGGGCATCAACCAATAGGCATGCAGCTTTCCTCTATTCTTCTTGCTGATTGGCTGTTGGGATTTAACTTGATCAACACCTGCACAGAGCATTTCCACCTGCACAGAGCATTTCTTGCTGATTGGCTGTTGGGATTTAACTTGATTAACACCTGCACAGAGCATTTCCATACTGACAGTATGTCTGTATTCAAGTGTTTTGGTAGGTATTTCAAGCTTTCCTGCTCCAGCATTGGAATGCGGGGCATGGACATTTTTTTTATTTTGAAAATCAACAGTTTGCATTATGCAATTAAAAATCCTAACCAATAAAGTAGGGAATAGCTATCCAACTGTTGTTTTAGTTGTATTTTACTTCATATTATAGTTATATCAATGTAAATCATTGTTTTCCCTTGTGTTTCTCATTCTTTCCCTGCCATGTCGTAAAATGTGGTGAACCCATCGCTGTATTTGCTCCAAAGCAAATATTGGCCTTTCTAGTTTGCATTTGCTTTGTCATGCCATTTGTTATAAAATCTATTGTAAAAAATAGATCACAATCAAAAACAATTATAATCATAATCAATACATAGTAGTTAAAGGGAAATATTGAAGTCGCCGTACATATTTTTCAACGAGCAGCAAATTTCTGCATCTAGTATAGAAAAAATATATTATTCAACAATCCCCCTTCTACGACCTCAATGGAACGTCCCAATGACGCAGTTAGATCTTTTGTTCTCTCAGTTATGGTGGGTGCGAACACTTCCGTGTACGTGTAAAAATGGCGTCCAGCGCATTCAGCGAAATAACCGAGGAATTTCTCGTCTGTCAGATCTGTTTGCAGGACTTCAAGCAGCCTAAGGTGCTGCCGTGTCTTCACACCTTCTGCCAGCCGTGTTTGGAGAGGCTTCTGGCCAGAGTGGGAAAACTCTCCTGTCCGACCTGCCGACAGGACGTGCCCCTCCCACAAAATGGCGTCCAAGGGCTCAAGTCCAACTTCCTCGTCGGCAAACTGCACGACATTCTGCAAAAACAGCCGAAAGGAAAAGGGGAAACGTCGGAGCCACGGGAGGAGGAGGGAGTCCCCTGCACGGCCTGTGACAGAGGTAACCCTGCCGAGTTCTACTGTATGGAGTGTACCGACTACCTATGTCAGATGTGTAACGACACGCACCGTGGGCTCAAGCTCACCAGGTCACACATAGCCGTAACCATTCAAGACCTGCAATCAGGCCGACTTGCCGCCGAGCTCTGGGCAAGAGAGACCGCCACGTGTGAGGATCACAATGAACTGAACAAGTTCTACTGTGACACCTGTCATCGGGTCATCTGTCTGCACTGTGTGGTAACGGCGCACAAAGATCACCAGTATGTGGAGATAGAGAAGGCGGCCGAGAGGGAGAGAGCAAAGTTCAAGGACAAACTGCCAACACTCCAGACCACAGCAGGCCTGCGTGAGAAGTGGATAGACGAACTGCAGTCAGTAAAGGACAACTGGCCCTTACAGGTACAGCGTACAGAAGAACAGCTGGAAAAACAGGCAGAGTCAATCATGGAGGCCGTTCAGAAGGTGAAAAACGACAAAATCCGCCAGCTTCGCGCCATGAATGCTGCTCGGGAGAAACAGATGGACGCCGCCATGGAGGCAGCTAAGATAGACCTGGCCTCAGCCAGAAGCTGTATCCAGTTCACGGACAATGTGTTGGAGTACGGGAGTCCGGCGGACGTCATGTCGGTGGCCGGAGAACTGACCGCACGGATGGAGCAAACCGCAGACAAGAAGATCACCGAGAGGGCTGAACTGACCAAGGGGTTCATGAACTTGACCTTTGACCCACCGTCTGTGGCACTAAAGCAGGAAGTTTCAAAGCTGTTAGGTGGGATAAAACAAACAGCAGTGTCATTGCCAATCACACTGTCACCAGTTCGGACTAACGTGGCGATCGGTACTTACAGCGGGACACCTAAACTGCTGAAAACCGTTAGGGAGGAAGGCAGGGAGTTTGACTTCCCAACATCACTCGCCTTTACTGCAGGTGGAGACATTGCAATGACTGATCATGCCAGCAAACGTCTAAAATGTTTTGACAAAGATGGCTCCTTTAAGAAGAAGGTCGATTTGTGGTTCCAGCCGGAGTGTGTGGCGGCCCTTATAAACGATGATCTGCTGGTGACAGGAGACGGACACAGAATTCACGTACTAGACAAACAGGGGAGGGAATCACGTGTCATCCAGGTGACGGGTGCTGTAGAGAAAGATACAATTACACGAGGTATCGCTATTGACGCTTCGGGGCGCATCATCGTCACTATCGGGCACCAAGTGTTTGTACTTAGTCCCAGTGGTGACGTTATACTAAAGTTCGGGGACAAAGGTCAAGGTCAGCAGCAGTTGAGTTCCTACCTCCATGTGACCGTCAACAGCAGCAACCAAATCATCATCAGTGACTGGGAAAACCACAACCTGAAGATGTTCGACCCCACCGGTCACCATCTCTTCACGCGCGGGTCACGTGGCTCGGGACCTGGTCAGCTGAAGTACCCCTGCTGTGCCATCACAGACAGCGAGGACAACATCATCGTGGCTGACTATGGCAACAATCGTGTTTCCCTGTTCAGTCGGAACGGCAGGTTTATCAGGCACGTGCTGACACAAGAGGAACACGGACTGAACCATCCACAGGGACTAACGCTGACTCACGACGGACATTTGGCTGTTTGTAACCTCACTTCCGTCAACATATTCGAGATGTCACAGAAAAGCAAATAAGAACTTGCACTGTATATTCGCTAAAAAGACCAAAAGGGCTAATCTGTGATCAAAGTTCTGCCTCGGTAGATCTGTGAATTATTGTTTAAAAAACGTGACTGAGCCAAAGCTATTTTCAAATTACAGCTTAAAAAATCCGTCAAACTTGAGACTAAACATGTTACTCCATAAAATGAAGAGAGTATCAGTACCAGCTTTACTGACATATCTTTTATATCTAATCACCAATTTAATAACAAAGATTAACACACATTTTTAGTTTGATTGTATGATAAGTGTTCATGAATATCAGATACCCTTTGTTTACACATCTCCGGGCAGAGTTTGCGAATAACAAAACAGTTTTCAAACTGTTAAAGTAATTAATCAACAAAGAAAACACTACCATTACCTGTTATCATTATAGAATATATGATGTTTTTCAATCTGCATGATTTTTATTGTCTTTAATTGTCTTTTAGTATAGACTACCATGATATTTCAGAAAATATAGACAAAAATTTCCATAAGCAATTAACGTTCCCAAATTGCTCACCAATGAGGCATACACTAGTAACTTACCATACATTATAAGACATCAAGCTTTTACATTTTACATTGAGGGTTGCTCCACTTCATTCTGCATCATTGATTCATTCTGCATCCACGTAGAAAGGCATCCAGTTATCAAAGCAATACTCGATTATGTGAAAATCATAAAAAAGAACAAAGTGTCCCCGCCATTAATTCAGTTCAATTGGGTTGCATTGTTGTACTGCCCTTATAAAAATGTAAAACCCTCTTTTCACCATTATTACCTTCGCCAAGAAGGTTAATATGTTTTCGTAGGCGTTCGTGTGTGTGTGTGTGTGTGTGTGTGTGAACACGATAACTCAAGAAGGCTAAGTTGGATTGTCTTGATATTTGGTTCACAATTGCTTGTGACAGCTTCTTTGAAACATGGGTAAAATGGTGGTTCCACTGTAGTGTGTTGTCGAGGACAACGCCGAGATACTTAAACGTTTCCACTTGTTCCAGTTCTGAGCCAGCAAGTGTAAGTTGCAGGTGCTGGTCAGCAGCTCGGGACCTGTGTGAAGCAACTAGCATTGATTTGCATTTGGAAGGGTTTAAGGAGAGTTTGTTGGCGATAAACCAGTACACTAGCCGGGTAGAGTCGTTCTGGATTGTGTCCTGTATTGTGTGTGTGCAGCTGTGTGAAAAGTAGAGAATGGTGTCATCTGCGTACATGGCTACCTTACAGGACTGTATGCAATTGGGAAGGTCATTAATGTAGACAATGAAAAGAAGGGGTCCAAGGATGGACCCCTGCGGAACGCCGCATGTCACGTTAGATGGGTACGACAGGACTGAGTTAAGGCATGTACGCTGTAACCGGCCTGTCAAGTATGACTTGAAAAATCTACATGACATTTCATCAACACCATAGGTGCTCATATTCATCTGAGCTAACAATCGAAATAGGTGTAAAGAACCTTTCTAAAGGGCAAAACATTGGGGGTCTTCCAGGAATTCTAACCCAGTACCTTTAATCTTTAAGTCACCAGTCGCTTGAGAAGTACAAGTGTGTAGAAAGAAAAGTTCATCACACGCGAATAGTCTACCAGCTCCCAAACCTCAATTATTACTAGGTTAATCATACACATATTGTCTACTGGCTGTCAAACCTACACCCACGTCCACAGACGAAGAAGTTGGACCAGTCCACTTTAACTCCTCCCAAGGGAGGAACAGATTAACGTCTAAAACTCTTAATTCATCAATTGAACATATTTCTGAAAAAAAAATCCACTGCATTTCACTGCTATAACCTTTTTTTCGTTTTATCTTATGAACAATACAATGTGGCCATTTGTGAACTTCAGTGTTCAACACCCTGTTGTTTCTATCCAATACTAGATAAGAATCCGTTGTGGGGGCGTTTTGTTTATTCACTAGTTACATCATCTCCCTGCACTGAGTCTCTATTTTGCTGTTGAGGTAGGTCCGCCCTGCAGACAGTCAAACCGCTCGCAGACGTCTCTCCGTAAGTACAGAATTTCTGAATCCTTCTTCTCCACTGATGTAGCTTTATTCCTTGCATTTTGGTGTAAACCTTACTACAGTTACTTATCTGCTAAAATGTAATAATGCTAATATGTTAGAGTACATGTAAATAGGAATAGCAGAGTTAATAGTGTTTATTTGTCTGTAGAATGATGTAATCTGGCCTCCGAAGTACTAATACACTAATAGTCTGCTAAGTTTGATTTCATATACCTTTTCTGTTGGATCTTTCTCTTATTGTTGTACCTGTATTGTTTCATCAATCTATTAGAAAGATTTGACATGTAAATTAATAAAATCTATACAATACCAGACAAGACACCTTTGCGGGTAATTCATGACGTGTATGGGATATGTTTATTCAATATTTATATCATCTTCGTACACTGAGTCTCTATTTCACTATTGTGGATGGTTCTCTCTGAAGACAAGTTGCTCGCAGAAGCCTCACTGTAAGTACAGAATGTCTGAATCTGCCTTCTCTATATCTCAATATCACCTTACAGTAGCACTGCAAGGTGTAGGTAATGTTTATGTGTTGATAGGTTTAATAATGTAACGTAATGAGTAATTTTTATGATGACTCCAGCTGATGAGCTAACGGTGTGTTGCAATCTAAACACGACACTACTCATCATGGTAATGTAACTGTTATGGCGCATCTATAATTTCCCCACAAAGAAAGAATTGAAATCTATGAAAATGAACCTCAAGTTCACCGAGTATCATGTTGCATATCGGTTAGCATTTATGAGAGGAACCGCTAAAATAACTTTCAGTGAATCCAACATGTCAGCTGGAACAACACGTGCCTCAAGCACTGATAATGAGTTACTGTTTAGACAACCCTATATTTCCACCATAAAGAAATAACTGAACATTTTATGACATCAAGTTAGCAAAGGAACATGTAATATATTACTATATGAGGAACCGCTTAACAACTTCAAGTCAAAGCACAAAAAAATCAACCCAACCCCAGTCAAGACAACACGTAGTTCAAACTCATGATCTCAGCACTGACATGAATTGTCTGGTATCAAAAGACAACTCGTGGGCTGCGTCATCTACATAAAGATGTTTGGATTCTGACTTTTTTCCCGTGGTTTGTACAGTGCACACAGCGATATAGGATTGAGAATAGAAACTGTTTACATGGGCTGTGTTCTGATAATCAAACTATAGCAATAGGCAAAGACTAAACATGATCATCACCATCGCTGCATTTCAACGTAGAACATCAAGGCAGACTGTAGAATTGTTATAATGTTCGTAGTTATACATATTTATGTTATCTGACGCTGTTGAAATATGTTGTACAAGTTGAATGCAGGATCACTTTGTTTTCGTATTACTTTCTTATTAATTACTACATATAGAACTAAACAAAGGAAGGCATATTGGAGCCATGGCTGAAAACCTGCCATCCAACACAGTACCAAACGCAATCGTCGTCAGAAACGTGTTCTTGGGCGAAGGTATGGCAAAACCAGACACAGGAACTTTGCCATCCACGTTCAGGCAAGCTGCTTTAAGTCACCAGACCTAACCAAAGCTTGAGAAGTACAAGTGTGTAGAAAGAAAAGTTCATCATACGCGAATAGCCTACCAGCTCCCAAACCTCAATTATTACTAGGTTAATCATACACGTATTGTCTACTGGCTTTCAAACCTCCACCCACGTCCACAGACGAAGAAGTTGGATCAGTCCATTTTAACTCCTGCCAAGGGAGGAACAGATTAACGTCTAAAACTCTTAATTCTGAAAATAATTCACTGCATTGCACTGCTAAAACCTATTTTTCGTTTTATCTTATGAACAATACAATGTGGCCATTTGTGAACTTCAGTGTTCAACACCCTGTTGTTTCTATCCAATACTAGATAAGACTCCGTTGTGGGGGCGTTTTGTTTATTCAATAGTTACATCATCTCCCTGCACTGAGTCTCTATTTTGCTGTTGAGGTAGGTCCGCCCTGCAGACATTCAAACCGCTCGCAGAAGCCTCTCCGTAAGTACAGAATTTCTGAATCCTTCTTCTCCACTGATGTAGCTTTATTCCTTGCATTTTGGTGTATACCTTACTACGGGTACTTATCTGCTATATATAATGCTGATATATTAGAGTACATTTAAAAGGAATAGAAGAGTTAATAGTGTATATTTGTCTGTAGAATGATATAATCTGGCCTCCGAAGTACTAATACACTAATGGTCTGCTAAGTTTGATTTAATATACCTTTTCTGTCGGATCTTTCTCTTATTGTTATATCTATATTATTTCATTATTCTATGAGAAAGATTTGACATGTCTTAATATGAATAAAACTACACATTATTGTAATTCACGAAACAGCGAAAAAAGAGAGATTGCACTAACGTTACCTTTCCTTAAATGTTGGTGTTTCACTTTTCAACAAAATACTACTAGTAACTCGTTCCCATGATCATATTGACAGCAACTATATGCTAATTAGAGAGTATTAAAAAGTGTCAAACAAAAGGAATGTAAGTGCAAATTTATGAATAAACAAACACGAAGTAGTCAAGAAATTAATGCAACAATACGTAGGGACAATACGTAATCTCCAGGCAGATTATTTGGTGGCTGCAATACAGTATCAAAGTAGCAAGAGAGTATCATTGGTATAGCAATATCCAATACAGGTGAAATTTAAAAAAAAAGGAAGAGAAACTACTCCTTAAGCGAATCCCTGATAAAAACGCCTAAAACATGACAAAAATAAGCATAACCTCTGTTTGAAGAGTACGTCCAATCTTGACATATGAATTGTCTGGCATCAGACGATGACTCGTGGGCTGCTTCATCTCCATAGAAATGAATTGATTCTGTCTGACAATGACGTAAGCTAACGTCAAGAGTTGTTTTTCGCGAGCCATAGAGTGTACATGATGAGCATATAGGATTCAGGCAAAAATTGTTTGAGCTCGGATAACCAATAAATTCATCCCGTTACGTAATGACGAGTTACCAGCTTAACCCACACCGCATTTCAATACTAGTATATGTAGAACATCGAGCGAGGCGGTCGCCGTTTTCCTTTATTCGGTTTTATTTCTTGTTGTCCGTTGCGCCCCTTTCCATCTGTAACCCATCACTGCAAGGTCACGATCAATTGTCCTTCTCCGAGTCATTGTTTGACCCCCTTATTCCTCTTTCTTTTTTTCGGCTGTTTTGCACTTCGTCAATTTGCGTAGCCTCCTGTGCAGGCTCCGGGCGGGTGGGAATGTTGATACTGTGTTTTGTAGAGTTTTTAATGCGTTCTTGCCGGCCATCCTACAACCAGCCGCGAGAGAAGGTTTCCATCCGACCACCGCAATTAAAAGAACGCGTTAAAAACTCTAAAAAAAACGCAGTATCAAAACTCCCACCCGGAGCCTGTACAGGAGGCTAAATTTGTGGTTCTTACAAAAACATACACCCGAGAGACCCATCGCTTCTAGTATTAATAATTCAGTATGTGTGTGTGAGTAGAGGGTGGCAGACTTGCGATGTGATTATTGTACCTAGAGTAAGTATACAATGTCATGTTTATGTCAATGTTAAGATGAGTTGAGTGTTAAGATTTGAATCATGATGTCTTCGTCTTACTATTAGGTACATCAGTAAAACAAAAAGCAAAAAAGGTCCCGGAGCCATGGCTGAAGACGTGCCCTCCAACGCCGTAACAAAAGCATCCAGGCCAGCTAACAACGATGCCAACCATTCCCTCCAACCACGTGCTGTAACAAGCTTGAAGCAAGACAATGAGACAGCCTCAACCACAAACTCAGAACATAACGAGGACAATCCCTGCATCCAATCATATGCAGTTGCATCATACCAGGAACATGATGGAACTGTCGTCGAATCAGCTAACTGTGATGTCATCCAGCCCTGTGCTGTTAAATACCAGAAAGGTGAAGATACTGTTGCCGTGTTAGCAAATGTTGATGACGATCCCAGCATGCAACCGTCTGCAGAAAGACACCAGGGAGACGAGGGCGCCTCGCCCGGGAATGTCAGATGTGACGTCATCCAGCCACACGCTGTTAAATGCCAAGAAAATGGCGGTAGTTGCAGTAATGACCTACACACAACACGTGGTTCTGCGTCTAAAAGCAGACACACAGCCCCTGATGATGAAGACATTCAGCCGTATGCCGTCGCCTACGTGGACCAGGATGACGTGGCATGCAGGGCAAGTTCAGGGGGCACTCAAATGGCTTCTAACAGAGACAAAGACGTCTCAGCCAACCCGTTCGTCAATAATGGCCCGAATGTACCAAATCAGATGAACGTACCAAACGTTCAGCAACCTAGAGCGCGCAGTAAGAACATCTAAATTATTGCTTTGATTTATTCATATTTATTTAGAGATGGTGGACAAAGAAAATATGCTTATAGGCGCCCTCTCTTCATCAAGAACATAGTATCACACAAATGAGCATAGAAACAATACATTTGAAACACCGTGATCCTTATGCACTCTATAAATGTCTGTCTATATCTATATTACTTAACAATTCTTCCAGGTACAATATATGCCAATAACTATGGGACAACAAACTACTACAAGACTAATCTATCCTACATTTACATAATTTATAAGAAAAACATTCACTCAACCTTGTTTTCGCATTGTCTTAAAATTTTGTTTATGTTGTATCGTAGATGCCTACTAACTGTTTCCTTGACAAAACACCCTTAGATACAATTCACTCATTTCCAATTCAATTTCTGTAAACTGCAATATTTCAGGACGTACGCGTCACCGGCGGGTCTACCTAGTGATAAAAACGGCTGCCCTTCTTGGCTTGTGCGTCGTCATCAGCGTGATCTCTCTCTGGTTATACTTTAGCACCAGTGAACCACAGGTACGCCTCTGTCCAATAGTCTTATCGCTCTTTGTTCACCATTTCCTGAGGCAGCCTCAAGTTTAATTATGGAAAAATATCGTAAACTACAGGTAAAAATGATGTTACAAATACATGTATGTAGCAGCCATCGAGGACCTCTTGGGGATTAACGCAATTCTGTATAATTCTAGCCTGGGTACCAAACCTTAGGCCATGTTGATTTGATTATATGGATGACATCCTCTGGGAGCCCAAAAATTGATGCGCGCGTGCGAATAAAAAAAGTTTTGCAAAAAAAAAGTTGTTTTCATTATGAAATGTACACGGTCATGAAGGTTGAACAAATGGCACAGAATATGGTTTGGCGAATAATCTACTCTTCAAATCCATTTCTTTACAATTTCGTCTTTTTTCCTTTGATTTTGGCATTCTACGACATTGGTATAGTTTTTATTTATTTTTTTTGTAACTTACGGTATATTTTTGCTCATTTTGCAATTGTTTTGTACGATTTACAGTATGGTTGAAAACTTTTTTTTTGGAAACGGCCGAAAATCCATGCGCGCGCGGATGTCATCCATATAATCAAATCAACATGGCCTTAGGTCGGCTTGGCGGTAATTTTTCGGCCCCGGCCTTTACCAAGCACAGGCGAGTTATTCCACGGACCTATCTCCAGCTGGTTTCCCTGTATGCGCTGATTTCCTGTATTACGCTTCTGTTGCCGCCGATCCAAAGTTGTGAGCGAAGAAACCTAAAGCCTTGAAGCCTGGTTGGCGGCCCGAAAAGCTCTCGGCACCAAAGAGATAGCGCTGAGCCCACGGCGGTCCGGTTACCCAGGCTATTAAATTCTGGCTTCAGTTTCCCGAATTCTGCAATATTTTATACATTATTTACCTATAGTTTTACCGATATTATAGATGTAAGGTTGTTGGGATATGGGAATAAGTCCGGAGCGGGAATTAAACCCGGAATTCCGGAATTTAATTTTGTAATTTTTGTAATTTTGATATATTTTGTTCCCTTCCGATCACCCGCATACCCGTATGCGCGAGTTGTGGATCCGGAGAAGCGCATTGCCTTAAAGGCTACCTAAAAATGTCACAGTCCGCTTGAGTTGAAAATGACAAAATAAAAAACAGATGCTTGACCTTTTCGTATTGTGGCTTTGTCGGCGAGGTTCGAATTCCAGGATATATACTTTTAAATAGACAATTACCGGTATTCCTTATTATACTTATTCCAAACAATTGTGCATAATACGTTGGCATTGGCCTGCAGCTATCAAATCCAGACAGGGTGCAGATAATTTATCATGATCTCCATGAACCAATTGCGATAGCCTGCATTGACAATGTAATCCTTTATTAACAGCAGATAACGACCACGGATACAACTACAACTACTACCACTGCTACAACTACTACTACTACTACTACTACTACTACTACTACTACTACTACTGCTGCTGCTGCTACTACTACTGCTACTACTACTACTACTACTGCTACTGGATGCTCTTGTTCAACCCCCGAGCTCCCGGCAGTCTCCAACACCCCACATCACAAAGGTAAGTCTAACACAAATATTCAAGAGACAATGTCTTAAACTTGGTCCCTCTGTGCCATTAGACAATGCCTTAGACGTGGTCCCTCTGTGTCATGAGGCAATTCTAGGATTGAACAAATGACAAGATTAGTTATTCTGTTGGGTAAAAGTAGGTGTATTAGGCAATTAGGTTATTCTCCAATAACTACGGATAATTAGTAGATATCAATTTGTGCAAACGTACGTTTGTAGCTTTGACCATTATGCACATGAAAATCATACATTTATTTCAGTTACTTGTACCAAAGTGCTATATTATAGCTTTAAAGATAATTACATTTGGGACAATAAAATGTGATGACGTCATCCATATGGTCCGACAAAATCATATTCATAACCCTTTTGTACCCAGGTATCAATATTCAGTACAACTACAGTTCTTTCTACATTTCTTTGTGAGAAAATGATGGAAAGCTAAAATGCCAAGTTAGCCAGGGAGGACACCTTAAAGAGAAACTCAATGTGTGTCTGTGTGTGAGAGTGTGTGTGTGTGTATGTGTATGTGAGTGTGTCTGTGTGTGAGAGTGTGTGTGTGTGTATGTGTGTGTGTGTGTGTGTGTATGTGCGTGCGTGTGTGTATGTGTGTGTGTGTGTGTGCGTGCGTTTGTGTTTGCGTATGTGTGTGTGTGTGTGCGTGCGTGCGTGAGTGTGTAAATGTAAATGTTTTAAATTTCAATTTGGAAAACACTTTTTATTCATTCATGGCAAAAGGTTGTGACGGAAAGCAGGAGAGGATCTCGTTTGGCGGGTACGGAGAAGAACCTGGAAAATTCCGGGATAACTTCGGAGTTGCCGTGTCTGCTGACAATGAGATATTTGTGACTGATCAGTTAAACAAACGAGTCCAAGTCTTCAGTATAAAGGGGACCTTTCTCCGCCTCTTTCCAACAGTCGTGCCGGGTGAAAGTATGACAATGTACCCTTTAAGTGTTGCTTTGGACGTAGAGCCCGGCTACCTGTGGGTACTGGGTAGATGGCGCTTGCGCTCTAATGACGGACATGTCGTACAGTACAGTAAGAACGGACAACCCATCAAAAAGTTTGACGTAAGCCTCAAGGGCTTCTTTCCCGTCATCGCGATGGACGTGCGCAACAATAAAGTTATCGTGGGAGACCAAACAACCATTATGATGTTTGATCCAAACGGATCTCGCCTTTGGAGTTCAGAAGTGCGTACGGGATACGGGATCTTTGGAGTCACATCGGACAAGGAGGGAAATGTCCTGCTGACGGATGGGCGTAAAACCATCCAGAAGTACAATCCCTCCGGAGTAAAGATATTTGAATTCGGCACCTATGGACAGGGAAAGGGGCAACTGAACTCTCCCAGAGGTATTTGTCTTGACACCTCGGGTCACATCATTGTGGCGAGCTATTTGAAAGACCGGGTAGACATGTTCACAAGCCAGGGCGAGTTTGTCCGCACCATCGCGGACATTAAATTCCCGGAGGCTGTCGCTATGGGACCATGTGGAGAGTTGGTGGTGACTAGCCCATATACAAACACTGTATCTATCTTCCCACGGCACATGGTGCTTCCTTAAAGCCCTAAATTGTGTTCACTTTGTGGTTGATTTTGTTATCTCTGCACGACTGATTCTCTTTTGTTTATGTACCATACACATTGTATTATCAAATGGTGTCGTAAAAGCCCACACGGACTAGGCCCGGGAAGCCTCATTCATTCGTTGTAAAGCGTAGATTGTCAAAATTGTTGTCTTTAAGATGAAATCTTAGTGCACAAAATGGTACTCCAGATGTTCAGGTCCAGACCGGTACCTATAAAAGTAAGTGAAGGTTAAACCTCCAGGTAATAATACACGCCAAAAAGTGTTACTAACAAAAGGTAGTCATGATACTTGAAACGTTTGACCATTTCCAAAAGCATATCCAGTTGCTTAAGTAACTGTTGTTTTTTTTTTGCTGTACCTAAATAATTATACAGATACAGTTATTAAGTACATGAGGGACCAACATTGATTTGTAGTCTCTTTTCACTCCTGATTGTATTTGAAGTACATGTAAATATGTATATCCATATATTGTTTGAATTGCTTGTAGGCCTAGGGCGCATTGCAAACATGGCATAGTGGTGACATGTCCATGTAACTTTGTGGCTAAATAATAAAAAAAAAAATTAATGCAAGATTTTGGACTGTTACTGGAAGAAATAACTATTACAAGAAATTCTGCTTACTGTATGGTGATTAAAATGTCACGACAGTGTCAAAAAATGTAATAAGAGAAGATGTGATGAAAGAAAAGAATCAGAACAAGGCGACTACTGCTTTTTTTAGATTTATTGCTGTTTTATGACGAATAAAAGACTCGCTTGTTGTTACACTGTGTTCTTTCATTTTATATGTTTCCTAACATTAAATTTGGTATTTCCTTAGTATATTCCAAATCTAGGCATCTTGTTTTTTCAGCAATCCATGTTTTTTATATCGCGCTTTCGCATCAAATTTAACGTCTCCAGTGCAATGGACATCATCCATAACTTCCACGATCTCATACTTTCGTCAAATGATGTTACCCTAAGGCCTTGACAAATGTTGACGATTCGCATTAATTATGCAAATTTGACATTCATTTGCATAAACACTACCTGCCAATGTTCTTCTTCTTCACAATTACACATGCCACACGTTTGAATAATCATATCATGGAAGGTAGCAGATTTATAGCATTTCCTCATTAATTATGCTAATTAGTTGCTGATTTGCATAACTATCATTTTCATATGTCAAGCATTCTTTAAGGTACCCACATACCAAACGTCATGATGATCCGTCAATCGGTTCTTGAGTTATCCTCCTTCGAATATTTTTCAACGAATGTTTCTGCAGTTTCAGAACAAACCGGAACGTAAGGAAGGTAAATAACTGAATCTGTGCGTGTAAAAGACAAGACAGTGCATTTAGTGTGTTAGTGGAACATATATACATATATACAAAACGTGTAAGGGCGACCCAATGCAGCAGGGTCCTCGCCAGTCTAGTTTTGAACTGGGCGAGAGACCCCGCCTCCGCCACACCAGGCTCAAGTTCCACTCTTTAACCTATTCACTAACTTATTACCTAACCTATTCACTAACCTATTACCTAACCTAACCTATAACCTAACCTATTAAACTAGTTAAAGGATCAACTTAACTTGCCTTTAATGTGCCAGATGGGTACTACTACGGATGGGCCACCCCCCAGCTATCCCGAAGAGTTCCACTTGCCACCCAGTAGAAGTGCTATCCCTCTCTGAAACACTTTATAACAGTACAAATGGAGTACGTACCATTTGCTTATCTAATGATCTACCTTTTAGAATTTAGAGAGAAACTTACATGGACACACCCACACATACACAGACACATTCACTCACTTAAAAAAGGAAAATCTGAGATTTTATACCTCCGGGGTTTTTATTGTATTTTTTTATATATAACACCGGTAACACCGATATCTACACAAAATGTAGACAAGCCGGTGGGCAATAGCATACGGACGTCATTTTCCTGGCAAAACTGTGTCCTGAAACTAGTGTATAAACTGCGCCGTCATCCTGTCTTATTAACCCTCAAAATCGTTCATAATACCAATAGTTTACCAGAACAATTCAACAGTTGTTTTTTTTTTTTACATTCAACTCAGACATTCACCAGCACAATACGAGACAACATAACCAATTAAGGCAACACAAATTCTCAATAGCGCGTATAGAGGCCCCATCGTCTGGAACAAGTTAAGCCAACTGCTACAAAACTGCAAACTGTCAATTCCTGTTTTTAAAATTCTTCTTAAAAACTTTTTCTTACAAATCCCCAGTACCACTACAATCTGATTTGTTTGTTTTCCTTGTTTTTCAATCATTTGTTTTAATCGTTAATTCTTATGCTAATTATCTAATCAGTTTATTTCTGCAAAAGCGACCTGAATTATAAGACTTTTGTTTAATTTCTTTTCGTAGATGTAATAATTAGTTTGCACACTTCAGTTATTATTTCTGTGTCTTGATTTTGTTTAATTAATCAATTAATTATTTCATTGTTTAATTTTGATGTTTAATTCAAATATGTTTTGCCATGTATCATAGTTACCTTTGTTTGGGGTAGGCCCTTTAAAAGCCACCTATGTTTCTGGCCTACCCCGCATATTCTCTTATTGTTATTGTTTGATTATGTAACTTTTCTATACGTGCAAATAATAAATAAACAAAATAAACAATAACCGCGCACAGACACACGATGTTGCCAGCCTGTGCCGTCATCCGGCTGCCGTCAGCCTACGCGATAGCCAGCTTGAGAACACCTGATATTCCCATACGGAACAAACAAACAATGATGCCATCGCAACTTCACCTTCACCTTCACCTTGTCCCTTCCTCTTCTGGAGGGTCGGGGACTGTGGTAGCATCCAGCACAAGCTTCCTCCATCCATCCCTGTCCTTGGCCATCTGTGTGCAGTCAGCCAGGGACCTGCCTGTCCAATCTCTGATGTCGTCTACCCATCTCCTTCGCGGCCTCCCTCTGCTCCTGCTACCACAGATCCATCCTTGCAGGATGTGAGTTGAGATTTTCTGTGCTCTCGACACATGTCCGAAGTACTGTAGTTTCCTCCTTCTGATCATGTGTAGGAGTAATCTTCCGATCCCTAACTCTTCCAGGACTGAGGCGTTTGTACGATGTTCTGTCCAGCTAACTCTGAGCAGCTTCCTGTAACACTTCATCTCGAAGGCCTCGATCGTCTGTGTGTCTTTCGCATGGAGTGTCCATGCCTCGCATCCGTTAAAGTTACCACGGGACACACCAGCGCTCTCAACACCCTCATCTTGGTGGACATCTTTAGGACTCTGTCCATCGCAACTACCGTGCTAAAAAATCACCGCAAGCGCAAAATCACCCCCATTCCAATCAATTTTTAAAATGGTAGAACACCATGAATTTCAGCATACTCTATCACAACAGACCAAACCATGAATGTTAAACAACGCCAGACACATATGCATGAGGTGCCCAGATGCCGTCCAGTAATTTTATTTCGGCACTCGAATTAACACAGATACAAAAAGGGCATCAACTGGGCGCCAAATTAATAGCATATCATAAACCAAAACGCTGTGTCAACACAGGACCGTCTGCAACGTATGACATGTATCCACAAACTTATGAAATCCTGTTCAATCTGCCGCAAGGAACTCGTAATGAAACACAGAATGATTTAACAAGAACCGTTAAAATAGTTGGTCTGCTAGAGAGTACATTTTGTCGCACACTGTTCTCTCCAGCAGAAAAACTCCCCTGGCATGTTTATCTCTCTATTTGCCCGATTTCTACTCTTTCCAGCCGCTTTCCGAAGCCTGGTAGAGGCTAGGCTGTAATATACTGTCTGTTTGGATGTTTATTTTATTGAGAACTATTTTGTAAAATGTAGTGAGGCGGGCTCTCCTCCTACTTTACGAGAGAAGAGGCCATTGCAGCTCTATGAGCATCTATGTTGGCCGGTAGTCATCAAAGTCACTCAGGCGGCCCTGCGCTGGACAGCCTCCACCGCCTGTATCCCTTTGATGGTGTACGGGTCCCAGACGGTGGCACTACTAGTATATTCCAAGTGAGGCCGTACCAGCGCTTTGTAGCAAGTGGCCTTGACCTTGGATGGACAGTGGGTCAAGAAAGATAAAAAGATAATAAAAATATTTTTAAATCATTTTTAAAGTCCTGATAAATCTATACACTATTTTACACACACACACACACACACACACACACACACACACACACACACACAAACACACACAAACACACATACATACAAAACGCGTGCAAAAAACGCATACATATAAGCCCGAGAGCTTGTAAATGCTATATGGGACGTGGCTATTCGTTTTAGTGCTGGCACTCCCTTTTTGCCTGCTTCTCCGAAGTGACGGGCGGCACTTGTTCCATTTCTTCACAGATGGCGCTTTGAAATGCTTATTCCAACACATTTAAGTCACACGTAACGTCATATGGAGACACGCCCACATACATCAGACTAATATTAGGCGCTGTTTGTCCCACTCCGTTGCGCAACAGCCACACAGAACTCAACTCTGAGAGGCACAACTGCAACAAGACGACTGAGGGCCGCTCTTCAGGTATTCTTAGTCCAGAAAGAGAGTGTCAACTGAAGATATCCTGACCAGCTTGGAAGATAAGTTGTGAAAAACGTTACGGTAAGTATTTTGATAAGAACATGTATTTTCTTAAGTAAAATCACCTTGTGTTAATTATATGTTACTGAAAATTAGACATGCAGGTAGTACAATATGCAATACAGTATGCAATAAATCAAGCAACTGGATGTTAGATTCTCAGAAAATTCGAAAATTTTTGATAGCATCCAGTAACTGAGAAGATAACTGTAACCTGTGTATAGATCATGCCACACCGACTTAATTTTATGGATGACATCCGCGCGCGCATTGATTTTAGTGCGTTTAATAAAAAAAGAATTACCTACTGCTAGGCTCTGGCCTGGCTCTAGACCTGGGTAGTCCATGGTAGTTGGCG